AAAAATAAAAAAGGAGTCATATAAAATATGGAAAGTAGGACAAATTACAAAGGATGAATATAGGCAAACAGCACAGGAATGCAGGGGCAAGATTAGAAAGGCAAAGGCACAGAATGAGCTCAAAATAGCTATGGGAATAAAGGGAAACAAGACTTTTTATAAATACATTAGAAGCAAGAGGAAGACCAAGGAGAGGGTAGGCCCACTGGTCAGTGAAGAGGGAGAAACATTAACAGGAAACTTGGAAATGGCAGAGATGCTCAATGACTTCTTTGTTTCGGTCTTCACCGAGAAGTCTGTAGGAATGCCTAACATAGTGAATGCTAGTGGGAAGGAGGTAGTTTTAGAAGGTAAAATAAAAAAAGAACAAGTTAAAAATCACCTAGAAAAGTTAGATGTCTGCGAGTCACCAGGGCCTGATGAAATGCATCCTAGCATGCTCAAGGAACTGATAGAGGAGGGATCTGAGCCTCTAGCTATCATCTTTGGAAAATCATGGAAGACAGGAGAGATTACAGAGGACTGGAAAAGGGCAAATATAGTGCCCATCTATAAAAAAGGGAAATAAGAACAACCCGGGAAACTAGAGACCAGTTAGTTTAACTTCTGTGCCGGGGAAGATAATGGAGCAAGTAATTAAGGAAATGATCTGTAAACACTTGGAAAGTGGCAAGGTGATAGGGAACAGCCAGCATGGATTTATAAAGAACAAATCATGTCACACAAATCTGATAGCTTTCTTTAATAGGATAACGAGTCTTGTGGATAAGGGAGAAGTGGTGGATGTGGTATACCTAGACTTTAGTAAGGCATTTGATACAGTCTTGCATGATATTCTTATCAATAAACTAGGTAAAATACAACTTAGATGGGGCTACTATAAGGTGGGTGCATAACTGGCTGGATAACTGTACTCAGAGAGTAGTTATTAATGGTTCACAATCCTGCTGGAAAGGAATAACAAGTGGGGTTCTGCAGGGGGTCTGTTTTGGGACCAGCTCTGTTCAATATCTTCATCAATGATTTAGATATTGGTATAGAAAGTAAGCTTATTAAGTTTGCAGATGATACCAAGCTGGGAGGGGTTGCGACTAATCTGGAAGATAGGGTCATAATTCAAAAAGACCTGCACAAATTGGAGAAATGGTCTGAGGTAAAGAGGATGAAGTTTAATAAAGACAAATGCAAAGTGCTCCACTTAGGAAGGAACAATCAGTTTCATACATACAGAATGGGAAGCGACTGTCTGGGAAGGAGTATGGCAGAAAGGGATCTAGGAGATATAGTGGACCACAAATTGAATATGAGTCAGCAATGTGATGCTACTGCAAAGAAAGCAAACATGATTCTGGGATGCATTAACAGGTGTGTTGTGAGCAAGACAGGAGAAGTCATTCTTCCTCTCTGCGCTGGTTAGACCTCAATTGGAGTATTGTGTTCAGTTCTGGACACCACATTTCAAGAAAGATGTGGAGAAATTGGAGAGGGTCCAGAGAAGAGCAACGAGAATGATTAAAGGTCTAGAGAACACAACCTGTGAGGGAAGACTGAAGGAATTGGATTTGTTTAGTTTAGAAAAGAGAAGATTGAAGGGGGACATGATAGCAGTTTTCAGGTATCTAAAAGGGTGTCATAAGGAGGAGGGAGAAAACTTGTTCATATTGGCCTCTGGGGATAGAACAAGAAGCAATGGGCTTAAACTGCAGCAAAGGAGGTTTAGGTTGGACATTAGTTGACCTTAATGGAATTAAATATGTGCAATAAGCACACATTAGTTGACCTTAATGGAATTAAATATGAGCAATAAGCACACACTGGAGAAAGGGTGTTTGCAGGCTCTGATATAGAAAGCCAGATCTTACAAATCCTTACTTAATTGAATAGTCCTCATTGAAAGCACTTGTGTGTGTAAGAGTTTTCAAGTTCTAGTCCTTAGGTTGTACAAAACAAACAGCTTGTCAGACTAGCCTAAAACTCATATTTTAATTGGAACATTACTATTTGTTTGAAAACTTGAAGAAGATTGTAGCAATGAAGTAACTCATAGAAAGCCAGATCTTACAAATCCTTACTTAATTGAATAGTCCTCATTGAAAGCACTTGTGTGTGTAAGAGTTTTCAAGTTCTAGTCCTTAGGTTGTACAAAACAAACAGCTTGTCAGACTAGCCTAAAACTCATATTTTAATTGGAACATTACTATTTGTTTGAAAACTTGAAGAAGATTGTAGCAATGAAGTAACTCATTCATATGTTTGAGTGGCATAAAAGTGATGTGCATTTCGTATACGTTTTTAAAAAGAAATCACCATTGTCTTCAAAATACTTATCAAAATATCATTAACTAATACTTGACATGCTACAGTAAACTTTCTTGTCTCTACGTAGTGTTCACCAGGTCTTTTTTTTGCTTACTTTCCATATTTTTGTTTGTGTGAGGGCTATCATGAAAGTTGTGGGATTTGCAAATGAGTAGTATTTCTGGTAATACTTTAAAAATATTCAAACACTGGAATAAATTGCCCAGGGAGGTTGTGGAATCTCCATTTCTGGAGATATTTAAGAGTACGTTAGATAAATGTCTATCAGGGATGGTCTAGACCGTATTTGGTCCTGCCATGAGGACTGGACTCGATGACCTCTCGAGGTCCCTTCCAGTCCTAGTATTCTATGAAATGTTGGGTAAACTGCTTTGTGTTACATGTAACACTCTTATTTGATGAGCTGAAATGGAGATAGCCATCCACTTCTGACTCTAAGCCACAAATTTAAGGGAGATCTCTGTTTATATTTTAAACAGCAGCCTGTGATTTCTTAGATTAGCTAAGCAAAGATAAACTGACCAGAACAAAAGTTCATTATTATACTTAGGACATTAGATATAATCCTTAATATCTAACAACTGCAAAATGCAGGGAGGTTGTAAACAATCATTTGAGAGGCTTAAAGTGTGTACATTGGGTTCTAGTCTTGCATTTACTCTTTTATTTCTACAAGATCAATAGAAATTAATATTTAAAATATGCACAAAATGAATGTTAATATAAGGTTGTGTATTAAAAAATATATATGAACTAAAACAGTTCTGGTCGCTAGGAAAATCTTCAAAATTAGACATCCTTTATTTGTTACAATAATGTCTGAGTTTTCAGAGAGCCTGAAATAACTTTGAAGTGTTTACTGCCCTATTCTTCTCTCAGTGCAAACTCAAATGCTAGTAATAGTACTTTAAATAACAGCATCATTTATTACTGCTTATTAAAACATGTAAGAAAGAATAAAATTGTTTATGTAAAACTGAGTGACTGCTAAACAGCAAGGTCATTCATCCGACTGATAACTAAAGATCCATTAGGTGGTTTGGTGTGGAGAAAAAAATGTCCATTTAGATGTAACAAATATAAAACAATCACTGTTAAATAATATTATTGAACACTTGAAATGTAAATAATAAAAAATAGTTGCATAAAATATTTTAACAGCCAATATTGAATATACTTTATTCTTTAAATAGAAACCCTAACCCTAAAGATGTATTTCAAGATGTAGTGTAATTTAATAAAAAATTCTAAATTATGAGTATGTTTTAACACATAGTGGGACTGAAGGGAGTACCGTACTTTTCATTTTCCTGAATCTTTCAGTAGTTTGATAAATGCTGTGTATTACTATAGATCAGTAATTTGCATATTGCTGCATAACTGATAACTTGGTACATAACACATATAAGGTCACATGATACTCCCTGGAATTATCATCAGTACTTAACACTTTCCTTAAAAGACTTTGGATCCATGATACAAGTGTTTCAGCCACTCCCTACAGCACGGGTGGGCAATCCATTTTTAATGGGGAGGCCACTCCAAATATTTGGTAAATGGTTGAGGTCAGTACATTTCTATTATATTATTGGATGGGGAGTTGCGAGGGTATGGATGGAGATTGGGAGCAGAAGAGACTTGGGGTAAGAGATTGGAGTGTGGGATCTAGGAGGTAGGTTGGGTGAAAGGGGATTGTGACCTGGGGCAGAGGACTGGAGTACAGGAGGTGGTGTAAGGTCTAGGAGGGGAGTGGGTAAGGTTCTGTATGGGAGGTCAGACTGCATGATCATGATGGTCCCTTCTGATCTTAAAGTCTATGATTAGTTGTTATAAATATTTTCACCGGGAGAATATAGATCACTAGAGGGCTCTTTAATGTAGCAGAGAAAGGCATAACGAGAACCAGTGGCTGGAAGTTCAAGCTATACAAATTGAAATTAGAAATAAGGTACAGTTTTTTAACAGTGGAAGTGATTAAGCTTTGGAACTAACTACCAAATGGAGGGCTTTCCAGCTTTTGATGACTTTAGAATCAAGACTGGATGCCTTTTTGTGTTAGTCCAGTAGAGTTATTAGGCTCAATACCGGAATAAATGAGTGAATTCTATAGTCACTGTATATATGGGAGAAGATTAGAAAGCCTTATTGTTCCTTCTGAGCTTATTATATTAATATAATGCTGTCTTTATGGCTGAGAGGCTGTCCCCACCGCTCTGAAGTTTTGAAGATCGCAGAGTTCTCTATTTTCTTCCCTTTGTGGAATTCACCAACAACTCTTATTTGCTCAGGCTGGGCTGTGAAAGGATTATTTTACATAAGTGCCTGCCTATCAATTTATTCTAATTTTTCACACATATCAAAGTGAAATTAACAGGACTTGTTATTCAATTACAAAGGTTTTATTTCTCTAGTCCTCTAGCTTTACATATGTTCTCCACAAATTTTGTATGTGGCCTGTAGCAGTTCCAAATTTTCATCTGCTTATTAGTTTCTTTGGAAAGCTTAGATAAATGTTAAATGGCTTTGCTGACTTGAATGGTAGGGCGCATAGCTTATATGATGACTTGGATATTTAGCTTCTAGTACAAAGCACATTTTATTTGAAAAATTTGACTGTGTAATTATTTTCTAAAATATCATTGACTTGTAAATATGAAATTGAGTTTAAAAATGTCTTTCAGCCAATGGTAATGACAACAAGAAATTCAAAGCAGATGATAAAATGGATGGGGCTCCTTCTCGTGTTCTTCATATCAGGAAATTGCCTGGTGAAGTGACAGAAACAGAAGTTATTGCTTTAGGCTTACCTTTTGGTAAGGTAACCAACATCCTGATGCTAAAAGGAAAAAATCAGGTATTCTTCTTGTTTCAGAGTTCTATTTATAGTAAAATGATTTAAGCATTTTTAAAAATTCCAAATACACTGATAAAATCTTACTGACATTAATCCAGATGTAATGGTAAATAGCTAAGAAGAAAAGCCTTGCATTCTTTCAGTTCACACTCTTCTTCTGTGTGCTCCATACTATTTCTAGTCCATTTTGTATTGGAAAGTAGTGAAGGATTAATAGGTTAGAGCAGATGACACTCAATAAATATGGGTTGTGAACCAACCATTTAGGCTAGTTTCTTCAAAGTTATCACTTTATGTGCACATACCCCAATTTGCTTAAGTGGGTAGATGTGAAATTATGTCTGTTAATTTGCCAACAGCAGACCCATTCTAGAGAAGTATGGTGGGTGGTTTTAAGGGAAAATATGAAAGCTAGAAATCTTATATCTATTTATTGTGTTAATGTGTTTTATTCTAGCCATACAAAGTGTAAATAGTGTGTAAATACTTTTTTTTTTTAATTCTTACATTATAGGCTTTTTTGGAGCTGGCAACAGAAGAAGCAGCTATTACTATGGTTAATTACTATTCTGCTGTGACACCTCATCTTCGTAACCAACCCATCTATATTCAGTACTCTAATCATAAAGAACTAAAGACTGATAATACACTAAACCAGGTATATTTACTGTTAATGAAGTATAACAAATGCATACAATAGCAAATTAAGCGTAGCATATATTCATGGACACATACTGAGTTGAATGTATTTTTGTATAAACTAAACTTTCTTTATAATTGCAGTTTATTGTGATATTGTAAAAGACATAGAGTTTGTAATTTTACATATTGCAATTACATGCTAGTATTTTATGAATGTATTTCATGGTTAACTGTTTCTAATTAAATTTGAATTTTTTTTTCATAAAATACATCTTCTTGTCTTGTGGCTTAACAGTTACCAGGGTTGTCAGTCAATCAGTTAACTTACACGAAAACTCAAAAAATTAAATGCAACACCACCATGTAAATACAACAACAAAATAACATTAAAGATTTAAAACAAACATTTTTTTACCTTGGGGCTACAGTACCTAGACTAGGGCTGTTAAATATAGGTTAATTAACTAATCGTCTAGTCGATGGTATTTCCATCAACTAGTCGATTAGTCGATAAGCGGGAGGGGGTCCCAGTGCAAGCTGGGCCAGCTGATTCCTGGCTCCTGCTGGGTCCCCGCTGGTTCTTAATAAATTTACAAGGCTAAAACACAGCAGGGGGGACCTGGCCTGAGCTGGGAATCATCTTGCCTGGCTCGCACTTGGACCTCCCCTTCCCTCTCCCGCTGCGCTTTTGATTTTTAAATGTATTAAGAGCTGGCAAGCTCTTAATATGTTTAAAAAGCAGAGTCTCAGTGTCTGGGACTGGGCGTGAGCCATAAATCAGCGCCTTGTCCCCTCTACTCCTGCAGAGATGGTGCTGGGGGGAACCAACTTTTAAGCCGGCTCTCCCCAGCACCAGGTCCTGCTCTCCCCCCAAGGGGACGGCAGAAGCGTCTAGTCAAAGGACTAGTTGACTTTCCAATAAGCTTTTGCTTATTGTATAGTCGACTAGTCACTTACATCCCTAAGCTAGACACAGGGGAGTTAAGAACAGAATGATTTGACATAACTGTGAATCTCCTTGATTGTCAATTTGTCAGTATGAAATGTTTTAATATGGACTTTGTATTATTATTATTAGCAATGTTTAAAATGTGTTTAACCATGTAATCACTGAAAATTTCATGCAGGGAAAGGGAAGGTAGGGGCGTAGGCAGATCACCCAGAGCTGATGTGCTCGGGGAGCCAGATATTCAGCTGATTACCTGTGTGTATCGGGAGCTTGTGTGTGACCATGATGGTTAATCTCTGAGCCCCGGCTCATTGGGTAACCATGTACGGTTATACTTTGACATCCCTAATAATTATAGGCTGCTTATGATCCTAGGATCATAAGGTCAAATTGTCAAATGTGAAAGAATATTATGAAACTTTAAAATAAATTAATTTTATGTAATATTTTATTAAATAAATATGCAGCTGATTTTGCCTGTTTTAACATTTTCTTGAATATATTCAAAATGTGGGTTTCTAAAACAACTATTAAAATTAAACTAAACTTTTACCTCCTCTAAAACAATCGATTTGTCTTGTAATTTCTATGCAATAGGCCATACACTGTCAATGCTTATTTCAACAATCAAGCTTACTATGGCATGCAATCCAGTTGACCTTAATGGAATTAAATATGAGCAATAAGCACACACTGAAGAAAGAGTGCTTGCAGGCTCTGATATAGAAAGCCAGATCTTACAAATCCTTACTTAATTGAATAGTCCTCATTGAAAGCACTTGTGTGTGTAAGAGTTTTCAAGTTCTAGTCCTTAGGTTGTACAAAACAAACAGCTTGTCAGACTAGCCTAAAACTCATATTTTAATTGGAACATTACTATTTGAAAACTTGAAGAAGATTGTAGCAATGAAGTAACTCATTCATAGAAAGCCAGATCTTACAAATCCTTACTTAATTGAATAGTCCTCATTGAAAGCACTTGTGTGTGTAAGAGTTTTCAAGTTCTAGTCCTTAGGTTGTACAAAACAAACAGCTTGTCAGACTAGCCTAAAACTCATATTTTAATTGGAACATTACTATTTGAAAACTTGAAGAAGATTGTAGCAATGAAGTAACTCATTCATATGTTTGAGTGGCATAAAAGTGATGTGCATTTCGTATACGTTTTTAAAAAGAAATCACCATTGTCTTCAAAATACTTATCAAAATATCATTAACTAATACTTGACATGCTACAGTAAACTTTCTTGTCTCCACGTAGTGTTCACCAGGTCTTTTTTTTGCTTACTTTCCATATTTTTGTTTGTGTGAGGGCTATCATGAAAGTTGTGGGATTTGCAAATGAGTAGTGTCTCTGGTAATACTTTAAAAATATACAATATACATTCATATGTTGATGATTAATTATGATTTTTACCTGTCTTTTCAATTTTATTGTTTTACTACTTAAAGGTACTGTAATAAAACATATAAATGAAAACCCTCCTCTTTGCCTTTTTTCCTCAGAAAACTGCCTAACCCTTTTAAAATTGATAACTTCGGCAATAGAAGTAGTTATGTAGACATGAGTTGTTAGTATGTGATTATCCTAGAAAGTTTTAAGACTGTACTTGTTGCTTTAAGAAATTCTTGGGATTTTTATTTTTGAAGAGGTTGGATAATACAGACAGCAAGTAGTTTGTTTTTGTAACCATTCATTCTGGCTGTGTTCCGTGACTGCATATTATTTAATTAAAAACACATTATAATATTTTTGAAGCACCAG